GTGGGGGGTAGGTCCTGCATGGAAATGGATCTGTGAGCCCAAACCCCCAGGTGTGAATTGGAATATGGTAAAGCTGGAATAGAATAAGCTGGTGAGAACACAATCCTAACGGTACAGTCATAATAGAAAACACATGCAGAGCACTTAGACTTTCCAATATAAGAAGACCATGTGCTGGTGTTTTATACACAAACAGCAACGGAAAACAAAAATGGGAGCCGTGCAAAGTATTGAATATTCATCTACACATCTCAGGACTCTGTCCATGGTCACTGAAAACAGTAGATGGACATTCATCCATCCCATGGGAGTTTCTACTTCTCTTCATGGAATCATTCAGAAAAGCAGAGGAACTCGAGGCAAGAGGCGAGGAACCAGAGCTGGACTGGCATGAAGACTAGCCACAATGCTTCGCTTGCAGAATAGGAATTGGGCTGGGAGGCATTTAGTAAGAGGGCACTGAGGGCCAATTAAAATCCTTCTCTGCGTAAAAGCAAAACCAACATGCTATTGTGAATTATGTTAGGAGACACAGATATCTCTAAAAATAGACTCCAATATCATATAAATATCAAGTGTTGGTAGAAAAAAATAACACTTTAAAAATCTTAAAGAAAGAGTAAGTAAGACAAAAGGATTCTTAAGTTTTTAACAGCCGGAAATATTTTCAATATTAAAGGCAACTCAGGTTCACCTTCTTAACTCTTTTCAATTAAAAGTGACCTCTCTGGTGGAGAATGAATCAGAAGATGAGAAATAAGCTTCTTTGTCCATATCTATTAATCAGGCAGGCAGTTTTGCCTCCAGTGCCAGATGAAGGATATTTTTTTTAACTTAATTACATCACAATGTGCAAAAGTTAAAAAAAAAAATTCAGGTGCCCCCAAACCAAGAGGCTCACACCATGACGTGTGCATGTGTGGTGAGTCCTGGGGATCGAACTCAGATTGCTGAGCCTGTACAACAAGTGTTCTCACTTAACGAGTGAACCGTCTGACTAGCCCAGTACATCATAATCTCTGAAACTCTAAATCACATACAGCAAAATGCTAACATCATTTGAATGCATCAATGAGTGTCATCCGTGTGTGTGTGTGTGTGTGTGTGTTTGTACATATATACATGCATATACACACACATGTGTGTATATATATACACACATATACACATACACTTACACACACATGCATACACACAGAGAGAGGTGGGTTGCATGAACCCCGGGTTGATCTCAAACTCACTATGTAGCTAAGCATGAGTTTGAACTCCTGATCCTCCTGATTCTGTCCCCCAGGTGCTGGGATTATGTGTTTGCCACCACGCCTGGTTGAATGCCTATATATTATTCTCTACAACACAGCAAATGGTTGACAAAATGGAATTTTTGGAATGACTGAGGACAACTGCCAGTGGCTCACATTCTTTAGGAAAAGAGAATTGGAATTAGGAAGTCACTATTTTGTGCCCCGATAATAATTAAATACACCTCTCCTTCCTAAATTACATTAAACAGTTTATATGTCTATTAAATGGCCTACCTAGAGACTAGCAAAGTGCTAAAATGAGCAGTTTATTTCAGTATTGGCTCCTACATTTTACAACACAAATCTAAAGGCTTAATGTTTTCCACCCAACACAGCCCCCGACCCCCACTCAGTTTGAAATTCTTCCTCTTTGAATTCTACAACTAATCTGTAGTATTATATGCCCAGAAGGTTCATACCCTATGAATCCTATATTCTAGTTTACTTGTTTATGTATCTGTTTAATCACTTTTGGTAGGGCCTACAATACTGTAAGTCCTTTATTGGATTAAACTAACAGGATCAACTCTTTAAGGTTCTATCCTTTGTATAACAGCAAAGCACCGAGGTGGATGCCACTGAGAAGTTCCTGGCCGTCCTAGCTTAGAAGTCTTGTCTCCAGAGTCTGGAGCAGATATATTTTCCTTTCTCTTTAAAAGAGAGCAGAGTCAAAACAACATGAAAAGAGATCTGTGTTCTTGGCAAGTCTCTCTCCTGTGTGCCCTTCTACCTAAAATCTGTCAGAGAACAGGAAACATCCAGTTGCAAGAAGTATTCAGTTTTCACAAAATCTAAGCACACGGGAAAACCTTTGAAATCTCCTGGGGATATGCATATTATATCTTACACACCTAACTATAAACCCCAATGTTCAAGCTTAAAACAGACTTAAAAAAATCCTTCTTCTTTCATATATTAGTAAAATATGGGATGGTGTTTGAAAACTCCTGTAGCAGGGTTCCCAGTGCTCAGAGTAAGATAAGACATGGATTGAACTACCTCAGAAGGAAACCCCTAAACCACAGGACAAACCTCAGCAGTACCAAGGCCTCTAAATTCACATTCACTTCAATTACCAAAATAAATATAATCTACCCACATGAGATGAAACCGGAGCCCAATAAACAAAGCCACAACTGTGGTATAACCATCAACATTTGGAAAATTACACCTTCGAACTGTAATTCACCACCTGCTCTGAAGCATAGACCAATTACCCATGCAAAAGTGACAGCCCACTAAATCTGCCAGCCCTGCCCAGGGCCATCCAAATTGACCTGAAGGATGGATTGTGTGGAAATGCCAGGCATGGAACAGCAGCAAAGTGTGCTGTAGTTACGCAGAAAAGCATTCACTTGAGATTATAAGGCTGGGATTTAGGCACCCTCTTCGGATTTCAGAAATCTTTTAACATAACAGAACTTGGATTCCCCAGGGGAAAAAATGACTGGGGTTTAAATGAGATAACTTTTAAGATCCATTTCAAATATGAAAACCTTCCACTTGAGTGCTAAAATCCCTCATATAATATGATCTAGGGTTTAAATATAATGGTTAACACATCCTCCTGTGTACTCTTCATAATCTGCAAAATATTTGGAATATTTGGTCTGTATTCCACACCACCACACTCACCTATAATCCCACAGCCAAGACTAAGAGTTTTTGTTTCTCTACAATCATCAAATCCAAGTGCTGCTGTTCTTCTCTTTGCTTTCGATTTTGTGTTTTTGTGAGGTGTGTGTGTGTGTGTGTGTGTGTGTGTGTGTGTGTGTGTGTGTGTGTTTCTTGGGTTTCTGTTTGTTTCCTTGCTTGCTTATTTGTTGTTTAAAGACAGAAAGAAAAGGCATCAAACTGGATGCTGTGTGTGTGTGTGTGTGTTTCTTGGGTTTCTGTTTGTTTCCTTGCTTGCTTATTTGTTGTTTAAAGACAGAAAGAAAAGGCATCAAACTGGATGCTTCGGGAACTGGGGACCATCGGGGAGGAGAAAAGTACGATTAGAATATATTGTATGAAAAAATGTTCTATAAAAACGTCAAGACATAAATAAATAAAATACATATATTTTAAAAAGGCCCCAAGGATCAAGAGCTAAGGGTGGCTTCTGGCCTCCAGATGTACCTGTGTGCATGCACATTGGCATGCACAAACACGCACACACACACACACACACACACACACACACACACACAAAAAAAAAAAACAAACTGTACTTTCCTTAGATGACACACATAATCCTTGTCCATTTTTCTGTAAGTTTCTTTTTTTCTCATTAGATAAGTAAAATTTCTATTTCAGTAAAGCCACCACACGGCCCGAAGACAGCTACAGGTCACCACTGGCTCTTTAACTAAAGGTGCTTGCCACTTCGGTGCTTGAAAGGCTTGCCAGTGGGGTTTTCTTTTTAGCAAGTACTAATCACCATAACTCAATATCCTATTAAAAATGATCAGATCCATGAGGAAACATTTTTTTCTTTTTCAAATTCTGCTGAAAGGCATGTTTCACCTTTGAAAGGATTGGTAAAGAAGGATGCGCAAGACAATTTCACCCGAGTGTCAGAAGCATTTGGGTGACAGAAAGAAAAACCTGTAATGGTGGACTGTCAGTAAGGATAAAGACCTTGGAGCTGGACAGGTAGGGCTCAGCAGTTAAAAGAGGTGACATCATTGCAAAGACCAGTGTCTGGCCCCCAGGATCCACACTGGGCAGTGTGCATTCACATGTAAGTCCAGCTCCAGATGATCTGATGTCCTCTTCTGGCCTCAGGTGTACTTGCACACAGGTGAACACACATACATACACACCCACACCCACACACCAATAATCTTAAGACAGAAAATACTTCATTGTGTGTGTGTGTGTGTGTGTGTGTGTGTGTGTGTGTGTGTGTAATCAGTCATTGTAGATTTAAGCGTTCAATTATATTAATGAAAAATAATTTTCTTAGTATCATAAATGTGAGTAGCCAAATAGCTACACGTATTTTCCTAATAAATATTCAAGCTTGTATATAGACATCAACAGTCTCTTTTC